TATCAGAAGTGGCATCAAACATCAACACCAAAGCGATCCACACTTGGTTCACGCCTGAACGTCGAGGCAGGAATGCCAGCACTGATTCCTCACCAGAGTTGGCAACTGGGGTGAAGAAGAAGGATTCCCGGAAACCAACAAATCTAGCTCCAGGCTCACAATTTAGTCCGCTTGCCAGAGTCTAATCGTGACTTAAAAAAAATGCAGAACTATAACTATAATGTAACACCCACAGCACCACCTACCTCCTCGACCCAGTCACTGTGCCTCCTGGTGACTAATCCTTTTGGCTTTTGTTGTTGTATACATTATTTATGGTGGAAATCACAACAGGCAAAATGCCTAATAACATTGGACCCTTAGCAAACGAATTTGGAGAATTGATAGTTGCATCAGACTTGGTCTCGGTCACAACAGCGATGTCAACTTTGTGATGCGTGACAGTGTGGACAAAGTCTGATGCAACTATCATGCCAGCTGACCAATGATAAAGAATGATGGCAGCACTGGGTGACCCTAATTCTCCAACAGGACTCAAACTGCTGGTGGCTAATGCCTGTAGCCTTCGTAACAAGCTGGACGACCTGAGGCATGCACTCAACCACCAAGACATAGATGTAGCAATTATCACTGAAACTAAATTCTCTGCTGATGCCATAACTAGCCTTGCCTCGTCCATCCCTGGATACGCCGTCCCATATTGCACAGACCGGAACGAGCACGAAAGAGGTATCGCTGTGTGGATCAAGTCCACCCTTGCTTCTGCTCATCTAGACCAATTCCAGTCTGCAGAACACGAAACACTCTTGGTTGAAGTCCACCTCCATGGTGGCACAAGCTTGGTGATCGGCTCTGTGTACCGTCCTGGCTCCTGCAGCCCCACCGACCTCTGTCTCATCGATTCACTTGACGATACACTACATCAGGCCAAAGAGCTGTCCCGAACGTAATCCTCGCTGGGGATTTCAACTTGCATAGTGCAGAATGGCTTGGTAGCGCGAAGTCAACCCCGGCCGGGGATGCCCTCGAGGATCTTTGTATCACCCACGAGCTGGTTGGTTGGTTGTGTTTATTTAAATTCGCAAACCGAACGGACTGAACTTGTCCAATGACAAGGAAGCGAATGAAGTCCAAATAACCCAGGAATGGGGACAGAGATGAAAAGAAAATAATGGGAACAGAAGGCTCTCGAGGAAGAAGAGAAAGGAAGGAAAGAAAAAGAATAATGGAGAAGAAGAAGAAAAAAAATCGTGGTCACGGCGAGAAGAAAGCTTTTAGCAAAAAGACAAAGGAAAGGATGAAGGAGAAAATGGGGAGACACATCGGGGCACGGCCAAAGCCGGAGTAGCGGCAGGACACAGTAGACAAAACAACACCAGGAACAAGCACGCATGAAGCATGGGCCATGCCGGCCCAGAAGCGGGAGACCCCGAAAGGAAGAGAGAAGAGAAGAGAAGAGAGAGAAATCGAAGCATTGCACATCTACATGTACGCCCACACATCCACACACCCACACATCCACACATCCTCACACCCACACCTACACCCACAGACACACACATACATGTACATGTAGATACCCACACCTACGCACCAATACACACATAATCTCACGCAACATGTCCGAGAGCCCACTCGAGGTGCCAACACACTAGACCTAATCATGTCCACTTTCCAACAACCCATCAGCACCACTGTACTTGCCCCTTTAGGACGCTCAGATCATCGAAATGTGATAGCTCAAGTCCGACCATTTCACCATGCCGGGGAGAGGCCACCACGCGTACTGTGTGGCGTTACGAGCGTGCTGACTGGGGGCGACTCAGAGCACACCTAAAGGCTGTCCCTTGGGCCTCCATTATCACGGACGATCCAGAGTTGCCTTGCTTACAAGTCACCAATACCATCGCTGCAGGCATGGACCAGTTCATTCCCCATAAGACTCTCGTCATCCGCTCATCTGATCCGAAGTGGTAGACCCTGAGTGCACACAAGTGATGCGTATCAAGGACAGAGAATGGAGGAACTGGTGGCACGACCTCGGCAATGACGTGAAGAAGCAATCCTACCCGCGCTACCACCACCACCACACTTCAGCACTCCAGGCAGGAGAAGGAACGGCACCTTCGGGCCCGACTCACCTGCGGCTCGCTTCGCGACAAGGCATGGTGGTGCAACCTGAAAGGAGCATGCGGTCTTGGCCGAAACTCTGACATCCCCCTCTTCCTCGACAATGCCGGGAAGGAACACATCACCAGCAAGGAGAAGGCTGACTGCTTTGGTCATTCTTTGCTGGCAAGTGCAGCCTGGGTGACAGGGACCTACATCGTGCCTCCCTTGGAACCCCAGCGTCTGCTCGCCCACATCAACCACTCACCCAAGTCCGTTTCCGCATCCAGAATGTTCACTGCCTCCTGCGCTGTCTCGACGCGTCGAAAGCCACGGGGCCGGACAGCATCTCCCCCCGTGTCCTGAAAGAATGCGCTTCGGTGCTCGCACC